GGATGCGACAATTTCTTCATCACTATCATTTTTTGTCTTGATTAAATCTAAAGCATGTAAGTAAATATCATATGGATCTCCAGATTTCGCACAGTATTGAGCTCTCTCTTTGATAGTAAGTTTTTCATTCCTTTTATCCAGTACAAGAGCCTTGATCTGGTCTTCTTTGAATAAGCGTCGGCGAAGAGCTTCTTTCACACTTTTGCGAGCTTTCCAATCTGGTAACATGTCACCAAGTTCACTAGCATATACACGTAATTGTGATGGATTAGATTCAGCGGACAAGTTATATTTTTCTAAGAACAGGTCCAAAATCGAGGTAAAGTTATTAGTTTTGGGCTTTCGGGTTTTTGAGGCAGTTGCCACAGTCATATTGATAATATATTTGACAATTAGATCGTGATTATCTATTGACCTACTTATTCTTTCAAATTCGAAATTAATTACCCGACCCTTCATTTATAGATCTCAGGAGATATGACTGCCTTATCCATGGATGAAAAAGTAATAAACCTAGACTATAGGTCGTACCCAGAACCTGGCAAGTCCGGTATACGATTCTTAAGTACATCAATCTTTACATGTAATTCAGCCTGCTTTTTTTGATGGTAATTCTCTCTACTTTTATATTTGCCTACATGTTTATCGCATGCATTATATTTAGACCTATTTAGCTCACCACAATCTCTACAAGGAGTATATACTGGAGATTTACGATGAAGATAACATCTTTCTGATTTACTACCCCGACCACAGAATTTTCCAGTTCTATTAATATATGAGCAATGGTATAATATCATCATTACTATATATAATAATTAATTTTATTTTAAAGATTTATCTATCGATTAATATAGTTTCAAAATAATACTACATATACTTTTTGTCAGATCAAGCAACGCGCATATACAATCAACACATATATACAATCAATAAAATGAGACTGTCTAACGAGGAAAAAAAACTTCTATATGAATCGTTACAACAACAGCACCAAAGTCAAAAATTGGCTGAATATGGCGAGGCAAAGAAACTCCTCTCTGGTTTAACCGATCTTAATTATGAACCTGGCCATGGAAAACATATGTGTTATAAATATTTGCTTGAATCCAATGATAAAAATGACACAGCACTTTTAGAGGCATACCAACCTGAAGAGATTTATTCTCGATATATAATCCGGGTGGCAGGAAAAGGCTTTACATTAATCGATCATCCTTCTGAAATTTATGGATTTCCTGATTCACATGAATGTATTGATGGAAATCAGCCCCTTCGTCCAATACTTGACATTGATGCAAGGCAAAAACCGGATCCCTTAAATCCTGAACTTCCTTCTTTAGATAGTGAAAAAATTACTCGTGAAGATTTGATGTCTAGAATATTAATTGCATGTGCAGATGCATTATATCTTATACCGGAGTGTATGCCAACTTTAGATCATTTTGCTCTAGCTAGTTCGTCAAATATTGATAAATGTAGCTGGCATATTATTTATCCTTATGCTCGGTTTGTAGATTATAGAGAACTTAAGGGTTTTATGGAAAAGGTTATCGAATTAGTAGGAAAACCATATTCGAAGTTTATAGATGTTGGCCTCCCCAAATCTCGTTTTAGTCTTCGGCTTCTTGGATCTGCAAAAGAAGGACGTATAAAAAGACCCACGATCTCTTCAGTCAAAAATAGATTACACAAGCTAGAGAATTATTTGGTTCAACCAAAATCGTATTATTCTGTAATCTGGCCACGAACCTTTTCTTCTGAGAAGCCAGCAGAGAAATTTCAACCTATCGAAGATGAAAGTGCTTTGGTTAAAGGAGCCAATAATGTAATTGCAAAATACAGATGGCTCGAGATTGGAAAAATTGGAAAAGGATTAATTAACTTTCAAGCACAATTACCTAAAGGATGTCCTATATGTGAGATTACACATGAAAAAGATCAATTATACGGATTTCTTCTAAAAGACGGGCGTTTTATACTCAAATGTTTTCGACAAAAACAACATAAGCCAGATCACAAGGGATTGGTATTTGGCGAGGTAACCAATAATCTACCAAGACCTAAATGGGGATTGAACGAAAGACTAATTAATATCGTAAAGCATCCACGCCCACTTGTAGATTTATCCGGAAAAAATATTAACGTTAAAGAGATGGAAGATGCCCCAGAGGCTTATCCGGATTTCTTGAGTGTGGATCCCACTACAACCTTAATTCGTTCACCTGTTGCTACAGGAAAAACAAAAACCTTAAGAGAGATTATTGATTCTTTAGCCAAAAGTAAAGCGAATTTACCTTGCTTTATCTGGGATTCATATCGAAAAACTCTTAGTAATGAAACTAAAGCTAAAGTTGAAGTATTGCAAAATTCAGGACTTCGTGTGTGTCATTACCAGGAAAATAGTGGTGATTTACCAATACGTGATTGGGATGTTATTATTGTTCAGGTCGAAAGTACACATCGTCTTTCACTTTTTGGAGGTCGTTCTTATGTAGTTATTTTGGATGAAGTGAATGCTATTATGCGTCAAATGTCTAGTGGAATTCATGCACGAGAATCTGAAAATGCCATGCGAGATTTGTTGAAGTCAGCTGTCCATGTTGTGGCAATGGATGCTTTTGCAAATGAATCGACTTTGGCCTTCTTAAAACAATATCGAGGCGAAAATATACGAATTTTTGATAATAAATATCGGCCACGCGAAGGTGAATCTGTAAAAATTCTTTATGACCCAGACAAAGGATCGGAGGCTATACGTAGAGGCCTTAAGATGCTTCAAGAAGGTAAGAGAGTTGTCTTTTCAATGACCTCCTGCAAAAAGGCTCGGGCCTTAGCCGATCAAACATCTAAGTTGCAAAAACCTGATGGTTCATTCGTTTTGTCTCGCGTTTATTTTGGTCAAATGGATGGAAAACAACGCCAAGAGGACTTTGCTGATATTAATGCTACATGGAGTGGCCTTGATTGCGTAATATATACAAGCACTGTGGAAGCTGGCATCTCTTTTGAAATTCCTAATCATTTCGATGCAATTATAGCAATTAGTAATATCAATACAGGAGTGCACGTTGAAGCTTTTGCACAAATGCTTTATCGAGTTCGAGACTGTCCATATCGTATTATTTCTCTTTATAATAGTAAAAAACCTGGCATTTTTAAAGAACCAAATCGTGATCTCATTCGTGCTGAACTTTCTGCCTTGAGACCTGGAGACTCGCCAACTGCTATAAAAGGTCATCGTGAATGGGACAAAATTGCTGGTTGTTATACTCTTGACTCGTCACCAGCAGTAGAAACTTATATTGAGGTCGAATATCGGAGACGCTTATCAGCCAAATATTTTCCCGAAATCCTTTGCAGTCTTATCGCTAGTACTGGTGCAACACTTGAATTAATTTCAGCAAAAGATACCGAAAAAGTCAACAGGAATAAAGTTTCTCATACTATTAAGAATGTTGAGAAAAAAATTAAAGGTGCAGATGCAGAATCAATAGCCAGTGCTCCAGATATTAGTCCCGATGAAGCTGAGATTCTTAAACAAAACCTTATGCGCTCTTTTGCTGATAACATGACTTTACAACGCCATTATTTATGGAGAACATATGCTTCAGGCGATATCGGAGGTAAAGATGATATTCGAAATTGGGGTATGAATAATGATGATTGGGTTAAGCTTTGTGACATAAATTTCGTGAAAAGATATAATAATCCTGAACCTTTACAATATTTTAGGAGGCTGGCATATTTCAGAAGACAAGGTTTCAATGCAATAAATTCTATAGAAAATCTAAAAATCAAGGAAGAAATGCAATGGGAAGATTCACATGAATCTATGGATCCGTCCTCAGTTGATTTGTATAAATTTTATTCAGCAAAACAATGGGAAGCAGTACATAATCTTGTCCAATCAATAGGTTTTAGAGATATAGATGATATGAATATTCTTTCTGGTGATGATGTAGCTAAGACTTTTGAGCAATCACGGGAAAAAATCGTTAAAATTCGAGAAGATGCATTATTACTCTTCGGTTTTAAGACCAGAGCTAAAGGATTACCTGATCTCAAGGCTACAGTAAAATTGATTAATGCAATAGTAGGAAATTGGTGCGGTTATACTGTTAAGAGTGAAGCAAAACTTTCAGGACCAAAAGATCAGCGAATGTGGAAGCGTACTTATTGGATTGATCGTGAACCATACGGCGGAACTGGTTTCAATAAAGCGGGGACTCCAATACTTCCGCCATATAAACCAGAAGAACCAGAGGTTCAATGCTCTTCATCATCAGCTAATGATATTCAAGTACTCTTTGACTCGATATCTGTTGCCAATACCAACTCAAAATTTACCGATTAATTCAGTGTACCAATGATCTAGTTTAGTAGTATACTTATGGCAGGAGATTTCTATATTTAACTAACCATTCATCTCAGGTAAGGAGATTTTTTGTCACTTCTTACAATAAATATGGGAAAAAATTCAAATTGAAAAATAATTGCAGGAAAATAACACCAAGGTACCATGGGATTTTTGTGTCGTGTGATTCTGATTGATCCGATTTTTTAGATTCAGTAGTATGCAAAGTAAGATTAAAATTTTCGATATGGTGATCCGCAAAAGTAATCAAAATTTTTGATACACAAAAGTAAAAGTAAGATTAAAATTTTCATTCCAGTAATATGCAAAAGTATGATCCAATTTTTTATATGGAAAAGTGATACGCAAAAGTGTGATCTAATTTTTTGATACTAATACGTAAAAGTGATACCCAAAAGTAAGATTAAAATTTTCAATCCAATTTTTTGATATGGTAATATGTAAAAGTAATACGCAAAGGTATCCAATTTTTTGATTCGGTAGTACATAAAAGTATGATCCAATTTTTTAATCCAGTAATGCGTCAAAGTATGATCCAATTTGTTGATCCAAAGTGATACGCAAAAGTAAGGATAAATTTTTCAATAGTAAAATGACAAAGCATAGGTCGATTTTTTGACAAGAAAAAATGATACTCAAAAGCATCAACTATACGAGAAAGTGTTCCAGGACCGCAAAACATAGTATACTTTCGGTGATAGCCAAAAGTATAATTATTATAGAAAGATATATATTATAAAAATTGTGCTTTTGCATATCACCAAGTAGATACGATTCAGGTATAGAAAAAAGTGATACCCAAAAGTATAATTATTATAGAAAGATATATATTATAAAAATTGTGCCTTTGGATAACACCAGGTAAGTATACAATTTCGGCACTACGTGCCTCAAAGCTGGCATTCGAATGCATCACGAAAAACCAGATCATGAATACTGTTTCGGCACATCGTGCCTCATCCTCGAACTCGAATGTGACATGCAAAGCCAAAATACAGATTACCAATTCGACACTACGTGCCTCAAACGTGGCATTCGAATTTATCATAAAAGCTAAAATAAGCATTTTCCAAGAGTGCTACTTATAGGTGACCGTCCACACGTGTGGACGATGGACACAAATGTTACATGGCGGAAACTGAAATCGCGGAGACAGATTTTTTCGGCATGTGGCCAGATTTACGAAATGCGCTATGCACCAATGTCAATTAACTTTTACGAACACTTTTAGTGATCGTTATGGACGTCAATAACGATGAACTTTTGTCACCCCTTGTCGAACGTTGGTGAGTGAACTTTTGGGTCCCCGAAAGTGGCCAACTTCATTTTTCCTGGAGTGATACTTATAGGTGACCGTCCACACATGTTGACGATGATCATGAATGTTACATGGCGGAGTCTGAAAATGATGGCACAAACTCGATGACGCAGATGACCACAAAATAGTCTAATTTATTAATAATTACATCATTGCGGATTTGCAAACCAGGATGATTTGCATCCAGCTCGGGCATAGCCCTCACAATCGGAACTTCGTGCCTCAGCCTTGGGTGATGAAAGCAATCAAAGGGCCAAAGAAAGCCGAAAACCTCATCGAAAGGAAGCAAATATCAAGCCAATTAGGCACCAAAACGGGCACCCAAAAATGAGTAGGTATCAGTCTAGTCATAAGTATGTAACAATCTAATCATAAGTATGTAACAGTCTAACGTAAGTAGGTAGTAGTATATATATACTACTACCTACTATTCCTCTAATTAAATTAATCATTTATTCATATATTTTACTGTGTAATCATTTTAATTCCTCATATATAAACTATTAGCTAGTTAGCTGTCAGTTTGATCAGTTGCCTTTTTGTTTAAAATAAATTATTTTAATCAGTTATAGACAAATAAATAATCATTTAAATAAATAAAAATTGTTTCCTGTATACTTCAAAAAAGAAAATGTATAATTTGCCACTCAAACTGAAGCATTTAAAAATACATTGAATATGACTATAAAACATTGTATTTTTGTATCCATTGTCAATAATTAATGACAAAATATTAATATTCTGACTTTATGGAGAAATCCATTTATTACTAAAAGCATCACTAAAATAATAATCAATTGTTTTACTCAAAAAAGATAAGCATTTCTCAACTAGAATTGGATTCACTTTTGAACTATTGGAGAAATCACCATTATATAATTATGACGAGTAGGATGATTATTATTTATAAAAAAAAACTAGAATTTTATAAGAAAACAAAGTTGTACTATATAATAATATTTCATTTTTATATTATATATATATGTGTAATAAATAGGAATGTGACTACTTTGGCATGAATCATTTTAGCTTTTAACATTGATTACAAATTCTTTATACAAGCAAATAATTCAGTAAGGAACGTTTTTTTGGAATGGTTTGATATTCAAGTAATTATTCATGCAGGCTTCCATTATCTATATATATTTTATATATTTGCAATGTATTATTAATTTTTAAATTCACAGTTAGATTGGTAATTTATGGTTGGAGGTTGAGAATACCACTCATTGACTTGTCAAATATTTATGTAAAACGCAAAATTATTGATTTGTGATTATATAAAAAAGCACTTATCCTGAAATAGTAAGATATAGATCATGGAAAAAGTAGTGAACTATTAACAAAAATATCATTAAACTTGGACAACTACAATTATTGGCTGTATTTTTCTAAAGGATATAAATACAATTTTATAATGACAAATTGTAATAACAAATGGTCGTATATCATATTTGTTGTTATATTAAATGTATTAAAGGCGTTGACTTTGTTTCAAATGATCGACACGTCTTAATATGTTGTACTGTGTAACAGAATTCTACCCTTAAACACATCATACATTTATGGGAACTCGAGGTCTTTATTGTTTCTTGTATAAAGGAATATATTACATAATATATAATAATTCAGATTCATATCCTGATGGGTTAGGAGAAACTCTTCTTAGACAACTTCTAGGACTTAGTTTGCAAGAATTACGTGAAAGATTGGTACATAATATTATTGTATGCAATGGAAAATATCCAGAGCTCACACAAGAAATTGTAGATAATTTTCGAACATTCATCATACAAGATGAGTCTTATTTTGAATCTTGGTTAAATAATTCTGCTGCGTATATAAAAAATAATGAGATAGGAAATCTTGAAGCCATTATTAGGCGTAGCTCTGGAGCATTTTACACCTGAATATGTAAGACATATGATTCTTTAAGAGAAAAATGGGACTTCTTGCTAGGGAGAATTTTTTGCATGTATGGACTTCACCTAAAAAAGGCTTTATCTTTAGGTTATTTACCCCTTGGACAATTTCCAAATGAGGAAGTTCCAAGGGTTGATGATTGGATTGAATGGATATATATTATAGATTTAGATCATGAAAAATTCTTGGTGCAAAATCATGAATATGAATGGGAATTCAACCTTCAAAAATTATTGATGTACGTTGATGATTTAGCGAAAGAAAACAAAAGCTCTAATAAAAAAATACGATTTCTCAGATCACTATTAGCGGATTGAAAAAAATTTTTTTTTTATATCATTACAACAAAATCACAAGTGTTAGCTATTACTGTATTGATTTTATATTAATAAAAGAAAGGAACATATTATTGTTGCTTGACAATAATTATTGGTTTTTTGGAGTGTTTCCTTGTTTATCTTTGTGAAATAGTACAGAATATATTGATACCTATCAATATCGGGCTGATGCAAGGGATAATTCTATTATATATATATTAATTGTTTGTCATATACAAAAGGAATCAAGATGATAACATAAATTTCATGTGACCATCAAGTCAACTTGGCTTGATCTGAAATTGATATTTGAACATCGGGATCACTCTAACAAGGCGCCCCAAATCCAACCCTGTTCAATAGAAATGAGGAATGTTGAAAAAAATCATCAAAAAAGATCTGCACTACATTTTGCTATTTTTATAGAAAATATCTTGAAATTTTATTATGTAAAGCTTCTAAGCTAAAATCAATCATTGTATATAGAAGCGTTATTAACTCAAAATCACAATGCTCGTACTTATTCTCATTTCTATTGTCTGTGCCCCATTTACTATTGTTTTTTAAAACTTTAATGGAAAGTATTTCAAATTTTATTAAGTGGGCATTGTTTCTAAAGCTTAAAATGTTCCTTGTAATGAATTATACATATAAGTGTTATTAACTAAAATTGACTTTTGGGCAACATTCCTCGTTTCTATTGAACAGGCCTCATATATTTGATTTTTCTTCATATTAAATTTCATAATAATTTTACAAAATACATCAAATTTGTACAAAAATTGAAATGTGTATTATACTTGATATATAAGTCGCATGTACTTACTACATACTATAAACTTTTATAAATCTGTATAAGTCATTAAGTAAGTCATAATTTTAATAATACATTATAAAAACAGCAAAAATAACTCTTTGGCAGGCACAAAGATACAAAGACGTGAAAATCATATGATTATGGTTTACATTGGAGTTCCAAACCTTGGATCAGAAAAAAAAATGATGCTCTCAGCATAATTTGACCAAGCGAGAATATATATGCATGACTCGTTGGGTATGCATTCATCTCAAAGAACCTTTCTCAAAGAGTTATTCTGGTGTCTATCATCGCAATTGTTTACATGTATATTATTCTAGAAGCGACATCATATGCCAATTCTTGAAAAAACAGGTATTGATTGCTATTTGCGAATCAATTTAAACATTACTCCAAAGGGTCAGCACTTCCATGCATGAGGAAAAATCATGCAATGTATATGTTAGAACTAGTAATGATTCGTTCAAAGTGTGTCTTCGGTTCTATTTATTACTATAGAAATAATATATTTATATATATATATATACATATAATATATAAAAATAAATATTATTAGTGTACCTTTGCATTTTCAATAAAATTTAAAGCACCTTTTATATTAACCGATAGCAGTTAAAGATAGCTTAAAGCCTATTCATTAATTCAACAAAACATATAGTAGAAACAAGAATTCGTAACTTTACTTATAGAATTGCAACTTATGTTGAACTTTACAATACCTTTTCAGTAAAAATTTATTAACAAAAGTTATCAAAAGTACGCTGTTGATCCTAGAAAGTATATATACAAAGTTTAATTCAAATTTTGCAATTTTACAAGTTTTATTTGTACAAACCTTAAAATTATGATATTGTGATTTTTTTGCAATGTATTGTATTAGTATAAAGAGAGGAAGAGAAAACAATAGGATCAATATTTATTTCAAGTTCAAAATGTTCAAAACTTGATCTTTTTTAAAAAAAATATATTAATATTAAATTTCAAGTTGGCTCGAGTCCAAGTGTAAACTCGACCCGAATTGACTCATTTGAAGCTTTATATCAGCCACATGTCTGTTCTCTTTAACTTATTAATATCGAATAGATATTAGAATAGGATACTTAGTATAACAAGAAGATGGCAAGGGGAAATGATAAAGAGAATGAAGAAGAAGAGAATGTCGTTAAACGAGCCACTGCAAATATCAAAAAGATAAAGCAACGATGAAAAGTAAAAAGATCACTTGCAAAACGTGTAATTTAATTTACAACTAATAATGATATATTAATATGTGAAAGATCGATAAATGATGGTGATATAAGTATTTGAAGTTGAAATCAGAAGAAGAAAGAGGTGATTAATATTTTGAGAGAAAAATAATAATTCAAATGGTGAAAAAGTTGCAAGTGGTCATCAATCAAAGATGTAGGTTTTTGATTCATTTAGTTTGTATATTTAATTTTTCATTTAGAAATTGTTTAAAACTTTATAGAAAGAAATATTTCAAATTGAAAATGAATTTACTTGTTCTCTGTACATATGTAAACTCGATAAGTCAGTTTGGCCGAACCCGGCCAAAACGTTTCACCTCTTTTTTTTACTATTTAAAAAAAATTTGATAAGTCAGTCAATATATATAAAGTCGCAATAAGCGCCAAGTCAATCAATCACTTAGCCCAAGCCAGTATTGTTAAATTTTGGAAACTGGAAATTGGAACATGCGTTCCAGTTTTCAGTTTCCAGTTTTCCAGAAACCTTATTAAGGAACAGTAAATAAAGCTAGAACACAAATGGTTTAAAATGAATTGAATATTTATTATTTTTATTAAAAAAACACCCACAAGATTTTTAAACAAAACCAAATTTAATTTAAATTAGGGAACTATCAGCAAGTGAATTTAAATTTGGCCTAAATAAAGTTTCAATCTTCCATTGTCAGCAAGTGATTATTACTATCCTTTCTTTTGTTTGGGATAACCGAGTTACTGGGATTATTTGAATGAATTGGAAAGACTTCATTTTGTGAATTATTATTAAAAATAGTGTTATAGTTGATTTATTATTATATGATACAATATTTGAAAATTAAATATAAATGTTATTATACCTTGATTTTTTCTACCAATATTTCTTTTATTTTTTATTATTTAAAGTTGTATATTAACAAATTCAATTCTATTGGGATATATAGCTTTGAAATTGTACAGGATAAAAGTTGTTTTCCAATGGAAGGAACAGTGTTAGAAATTTTACTTCTAACGGCTTCACTAAATGACCAATCAAACCTTTCCTAACTTTACATCCCTTGCATATTGCCAGAAAATTGCTTTTATTTATCAAAACATCTTTATTAACATTAACAAATTCATTAGAAACATGAAGTGGCTTTCCGCGAGACATTTTTTGTTAAATTTTCCCCAATTTAATTTGGTTTCACAAGTATCCAAGATTGGAAAATTTTCCAAATTCCAAATTCATTTCCGAAATGTTCCAGTAAAATAAAAAATCTTTCTGGAAACAGGAAATTAACAACACTGACCCAAGCATAATTAAATGAATCACGATAGGTCAGTCTCACGTGATATTTCATTATGTGAAGGGTCATCATTAGTATTTAGTAATGTGTATGATTTAATAATTTTTTATTTTGTAATAAAATATCTGAAGTAAAAGAACTATCTTTATTCATTTTTTATAATTTAGAAGGAAGAGAGGATTCTCACTTGTGAACTACATTTATATTTTATTACTTCCATCAGTTACAATGCATAATCACACATCTTTACCATTTTTCCTTCTCAAGTAATTCTAAAAAGAGAACTTTTTTCGCTTTAATCATTTGATGATTTATCATGAATAATGCATCGATATTTTATTATCTCAGCAGTTGTATCGTCGATTTTATCATTTATTTATCATGAATAATGCATTAATATTTTATTATCTTATCATTAATTGTATCATTCAATAATTTAGAGAACATTCTTGTCTAATTGTGAACAATAAATAAATCTATAATTTTTATCACATTTTTATATTACTTATATCATGATTATATCATGTGAAGAAATACATTTGTATTCCTATTAAATTTTATTATGTTCAGAAATATGTATAAAAATGTTGATTTCGCAACCTTCTAATGTTTGAGATAAATGATAAGTAAATATAAAAAAAAATTTAAAAAATCACGTGAAATTCGATAACACAGTCACAGGGGTCCGCCCGACATGACCAATTTATTATTATCGAGTTTACATATGTATTATTAGAAATAATAACTTGTGTATTTCTAGAAGAAATCATAAAGAGGAAGGACGAGAAATAATAATGATTCTATACAATTTATTAATCAAAAAATAATTACTAATTATTGTTTTTTCCATCTTGTGATATTATTTAATATATTTTTATTTCCTTCACGCAACAATTGTTTTCTTGACTCTGCAATTTGTCTTGTATAAGTAGATTTTATTCTACAACAACCTTTTGGTCCACTCAAGAAATAACTTGAATTTATACAAACTAATTTATCTAATATTCCTTGTACACCTGAACCTTTTAATTCTTTAACTAAGATATTTCCTTTGTCCTCTTTTTCTTTTCCAATGTATTTTAAATATCCAAAACCATTTAAAGATTTCCAAGTTTTGATGCCTTTTATTGCAGAAATTAGTATCTTCATTGCTTTGATGTGATGTAATGTAATTTTGTGAAAAGTACCAGATTGTGCTTTTTCACCAGAATTTATAATTATACTACCATTCTTGTTGCAAGATATGGGAAAATCAGTTGCCAAATAAACATTTTTTATTCCGGTGTCTCTTCTTATTCTTTGTATTTCTTTAACCAAATTTCTGGCACAATTTGGCATATTTTCTGGCAATGCTTTTTCCATTCTCCAATGTATTGCAATATATGACGATTCAAGCTGATTAACAATTTTCAAGGCTTCGTTCCTTATATGCTTTGCGTAAGGAATTGGTTTGTACATGTTTTGAAACATTGGTTGTCTCAGATTAACGTTAATTAAAAGTATTTGTGAATCAGACTTCAAATTTTCGATCATGAATTCAGAAAATTTTTTACGTTCATTTATCTTTAAAATACGAACTTCTTTAAGTTTTACTATGTTTATTTTGGATTTGTATAAAATATTCTTATTATTATCAATAAAATTCGTCTGATTTTTATAATAAAGACCAGAAGAATTTTTTGGAATCATAAAACTTTCATACAGTCCATTTTGTATATTTTGCTGTTGTTGTAGTCCTTCATATTCACCTTCGTTGAGGTCAAAGTCATCGACGCTTCTGATGGTTTCTAATAAAATGTGTTCAGCAGTAATAATTTTATAATTTGGTTGATTTTCAATCCATAATTTGTATACTTCTTGAGGGACAAATTTTGCATTTGGAAACATTTTTTGCAATAAATTAAAATCGTAATAGAAAGTTGGGGAAAGCGACGAAGATGCTGCGAATCTTGATGAGCCAACATTTGGTATCACTAGAATACGATCTAAAGATTCAGCCAATTGAATATATGATCTTATGTGTAAATTGGCTCTAGTTTCTTGTTCTGGTATGACATATGGAAATATGAATTTACATTCATGATTACAATCTTGTAATATTGTTGATGATGCTTCTTTAATTTTTTCGATATTATTTTCATTATATGATAAAGAATACATTAAATTCCATAGGATAAGTATTACTGTGAGTGATACTAATATCGTTTTAAGTATGTTCCTTTTTGTATCTATTTGATTATACATTTTATCCACAGTCATCGCTTAACAACTTCAAGTGCAAAACTGTTACGAGGAGACTGAATATATAATAAGCAGTTATTCATTATATGTAAGTAGCAAATAATGATGATTATATTAATATATAAAAGATTGATAAATGGTGGTGATATAAAAGGAACCCTTCATTACTGCTATAGATGGGCGCCTAAACTAAATTATTAGTATTAGACATTGTCTAAAATATAAATATTGAAATTGAATTTTTATTGGATAATTTACTGATTTTGTGTATATCCCATGTGATTTTTAAAGTGGATCATCATTATTATTATTATCGTTTATATTAATTTAGGACATTTAGACATGCTATTTTGACTTTAGACAACTACAAAAAACAATTTATACGCCAATCTATAATTCCTACATAGTTTTACATAAAAAATATCACGCGATTGACCAATAAAAATTATTATTATAGCGGACAACTGCATAATAATAATTATAAGAAAAGGGAAAGGGGTAATTAATATTATAAAATTAGCAAACAGGGACAGTAAATCATTTTTGTACATAAAATAAAAATTTTAAATTAGGTAATGTGTCGCAAAAATTTGGAGTAAATAGGAATTTGCCCAAGACCGGAACGTTTATTAAGAAATAAAAAAAAATTACATTCCAAATAGTGTTGTTTGTGAACAATTATTCGTTTGAATGAAGGAACAAGTCCAAACTTGTTAGTATTAGAAACATTTATATTCCTTTTCCAATTATTCCGAATTACGGATAACATTAAAATAGTAATGGATCAGTGTAACATTCCGCAAAATGAGATAAAATATACAAATTTTAGAAAAGATTAAATTAATTTGCTTTTGTTATTGCTGTTGATGAACAAAGGAGGAGGAGAATAATATCAAATGTGTGTTTGAGGAGAGGAAGTTGACAAAGAAGATAATGCCAAAGGCATCTGATGATGATGATGAATTTCTTGGGTTTAAAAAGTCTACCACACTCAATAATAGCTTCTTACTGATGCACAACCACTCAGAAACATGAAATTGCATATGTAATCTGCCATTAAATTAAATCTTTTTGATATACCATAGAGATCTTCACTATGTTTTTCTATCTTCATTTTCAACTAATAGATAATATGAGAGGGAGAGGGAAGATATCATCTAATTAGCCATTTGCAATAAAAAAGTTACTGTATCGAAAGAAAAAGGACCCATAAACGAATATACATCATGGAATAAATGTTAGATGATCTATTAATTCCAAACAGTTGAATTCTATTTCATTTAACCGATACTCCACCTCGCCAGAGAATGTTTCCTTGGTTTTCGTGGCAATCTGATCATAATAAATAATTATTATATTTATTGTTGCCATTTAGTGATAGTATTTATAACTTGAGTATCCATCTTCAACAATAAAGCAGATTTACAACCAGCATACACACACGAGAAATCAAATTAAATGCAGCTACGATCAACCAAATGTGATTAGCTTTAATCACGTAAACACTTTATTCTATCATTTTGGTTAGAAAACAACGTTAACAAAACGGATTATTATTATTATTAATTTAAATATTTGAGTACAAACGAGCAAAAACGGAAAATTCGAAAAACATAAGCGGTTTAGTTTTTGAGATTTAATGTAAATCTTCATTAATATTAAGGAAATCAAACTTTTCACGCGTAACTTACAGTGTACTTGCATTAATTCAAAATAATGATTCCAATGGTTTCTTTAATTGCTTTTTTAGAAATAAACAATAATTTTATCTAAATGATCATTTATTTATTTTTTAATATTATACAATATATCTCAAGTCTTAAAATAATAGTTTCAATGATTTTATTTGATCTATTTTTAGTAATTCACCTTAAAAATAAATAGTGTATCTTTTTGTCTGTTTTAATATGATAAATAAATCTCGTCAGAAAAATAATAATTTCCAAGTAACGATCTTATTTTTTCCCCTTTTTAAATATATACCAATAATGCTTATTAAATTCAATTAAAAATTTGAAAAACTAAAGCATAATATACACATATATAAGAATAGTTTATGTTTTAAAAATCCAAAATATTTCCTTATTTGCATTTCTTTAGTCAAGATTGACAAGGTTTTTCATAATGAACTGAGCACACACTTTTCATCCAAACTTAAAATAAGATGTCCTTACCAACTATTTGGATAATAATAGCAAAAAAAAAGTTGTCTTCAACTTTTCTTCTTCCGCCAATCAGCACCTGTGTCCTTTCTATAACACCAAGTATTACTATTACATAATTAACCATATTTCCATAACCCTCTTTGCTGAAGAGTGAGATCCAATGGAAAATTTTGTGGTTGTGCTAGGGACTGCAAATTTTATTGAAATGCATCTGGCTTTCCTTTTTTTGAGGAGCTTTTTAAGACCTTTCTATATACGTCACTCCTCATCCCATTGATATCGGAAAAGAAAAATAATAGCGAAACCAATCTTCTATGTAAATCCTACAAAAAAAATGTCTTGTTTCCTCGTTGGCCTCCTTCACATTATCTATGTTTTCTTCGCCTTCTCTATTTCCTAAATTATCCATTTCTTCACTATATTTAACATATGCAATAGTATTTTTTTATTTGAATTGGCTTTGTTTTCTTTTAAAGGTCATTATTTTTAAAATTTTGTGAGTATAATTTTATTGCATTATAATTAAAAATTTAAATAAATGACACAAGTAAAACCTTGTTTATATTTTCTTTGTTTAAAACGCTTTGATAAAAGCAATAAGTGTTGTTAGTTAGTGCCTTGGTAAAATGTAACAACTGTGAAGCTTTGGTAAAAAGCCACGTTTATTTGCTTTAGTGAGAAAGCAAGGTTAGGACTCTCGTTGGTTAACTAACTAGTGAGTGTTAACAACGGTTAGTGAAGTATTGTATAAAGGATTGGAATACTGGTAATATTATCGTACTTGAATTGTTTGGCAAATAAACCAAACCACAATCAGCCAATAAATATAAACGACTGAAATAAATCGATCACAAATGAATAAAAGGAATTCTACAGAAGCTTAAGAGCTTGTAAAAGGGTCATCTTTATTTATTTGCAGTTACCTGGTACCATTAATTAACATGTACCAAATTATTATGAGTCGCTTGCAATTAACTGACAATAGTATCCAAAAGTTGAGCCATAATTGTCAATTAACCGAAATGATACCTCACAAAATCGCCATTTAACAAGAATAAAAAAAACTATAAAAGTTTATTATTCAAAACATCATTATAATTCAATTTTAAGAAACAAAATAAAGATAAAATAAAAAAATTAAATAAAAAGATAATGATAATTTTATAGTCATTCATACATCTTTTCCTCTATTATTATTAAGTAATTAATTAATACTGTTAGTAACAATCGATGGATAGTAATTTCCAATTAATTAATGAAATTTTTATTCACCTTTAAAATTTCGGAGAAAAGAGCTAAAATCAAGATTATTTAACGAACTATCATTACTTGTTAAGCTTTTTAAGCTTTTAGATTTAGCAATCTCTTCATCTAATATTCTACTTGTATGATATGCATCTGGATGTGATTTATGTGCTTGTTGCAAATCACTACTACCACCACTACTATTATTATCGTTATTAAAATCAATTTCATGTTTTTTGATTTTAGAAAATTTGAATGATCTTTTTATTAAACTATTATTGTTATTATTATTTTTCAAACTTTTATTTTCACGAATTTCGTTATGTTTATTTTCAGAAAAATCATAAAGCTCTCCACTAGTTGGTCTTTTTGATGGATCAACATCCCAACACCTCTGCATCATTTGTGCATAATCGTCAGGCATTTCAGGTAGTATTGGTGGTCGTAAACCTTCACATATATCAAAAATCAAACGATGATTGTGAGCTCTATTGTCAAATGGTGGATGACCTGCAAATATTTCCCACATTAACATCCCAACACTATAGATATCTGTTTCTTTGGTGTTCTTTTCATTAATTTTGCCCCTAAGTAACTCGGGTGCAACATATGATACAATTCCATAGACTTTATTTAATGACTTTTCATCAACTGGTCCACATAACCCCAAATCTGTAATATAACAATTACCTCCTTCCAATAATAGATTACCGCTATGTAAATCACAATGGATTAAATCTTTCTGATGTATATCATCTAATGTGTCGCATAAAGATCTAAAGATTGTAATTCTGTCTTTTAATGTTAAATTTAAATGATTTTTTTGTAAATAATCCCTTAAATTTCCTTCTAAATAATTTAAAATTATTGCATAATTTCCATTATCTGGGAATTTAGTTATACCATAACACTGAACAATCAACACCGATTTAATTTTACAATAATTCACTGCCTGTAAATAAAATATAAAACCAATTAGTATTGTTGTATGTGAAATTGAGATCAAAATTTATAATTAAAATTTTGGGGTGGACGTTTAGATATGAAATTCTGATTGCTAATTTAAATTTCACATATGTGAATTGCAAATTCACATTGATTTCATTTTCGCGCACAACAGTATTATATAATAATGTATTGTTTTAAACAACAACTACTAACCTCATCAAAAAAGGCTTTTCCTGGATTACTTGAATTGTTTAAACTTTTTAATACTACTCCTTGCCCTCCCTCTAAATAACTAAATTCCTTTTTATTTTCGTCATAATCAATTATTCTTCCTCTTGTCCATATAGCAGTAAAAATCGAACTAAATCCACCTTCTGTCAACTTTGTTACATATTCAAATTGCTCAAAAGGTATCCATTCTAAAATACAGTCTGGCAGGGATGATGTAATTTGACATTGTTGAATAAAATCATCAATTATGTTATTTCCAGATGTCCAAGTGGTGAAAAGACTCTGTAGCTGTAAACTAATACAACCTTCACAGAATCTATCAGAGTATCTTGTCAATTTACACTTGTTACATTCTTTTGGTTTGCCATTTTTATTTAGTACATTCTTTAATTCAAACTCATAAATAAACCTTTCCTTACAATGTTCTTT